CATTTGAAACATGCCGATTTGGGCTGGGGGGTATAGGTCAGTGGTAGAGTACTTGCCTAGCATGTTTGAGACACTTGGTTTGATCCTCAGGTATACAATCAATCAGTCACTAAACAGAGAGATAGAATCAAGCATATAGTTTTTCTGAAACAGTTCACCCTCTTAGCTCCCACGCCTTTCACCCAAAGAAATGTAATTATTTGCAGAAAGGGAGCCCATATTGCAGAAAAATCCAAGAGATTGGCGCAGAACAGGGACAGTAAGTTAGAAAGGATTTAAGTAGCATTCTGAGAGATCAGGTATGTTCTCCTTCCCTGTATCCTGTTAAAAGCATGTAACATAGTTGATTTGGGAATGTCTTCAAGAATCTCATTTAATGTTAAAGTAAAATGGCATTAGAAGACTCCTGTGACATGTAAACATAACATTTAGCATTTTTTTCAGAATTATTTTGATGTTTCAGAACAATTTGTTGTTTGTGAAACTATTTTTTCCCCAGAACTAAGGATTGAACTCAGGACCTTGTGCTTATGAGGCAGGCATGTCACCACTGAGTTAAATCCCTGGGCCTGTGAAACTAATTTTTACTCCTGTTGAACTATAGAGCTCTGTGTTGCCTTTACTTCCCACATAGAGTAAGATCTTACTTGGAGAAAAAAGATTTTTACTTCAGAGACAAAAGGTCCTCACTTTGAGAGCACCACTGTTTTTTCTCTGGACAAGTAAGCAGACGTGTCAGACAGGAAGAAAACCCTTCGTAAATTTGATTTCACTTGGGCTTGGAAAAAAGCATGTGAGCCCTTCAGTTTAGTTATGAAATAATTTGGGCCCCATGTATTTTCAAGAGAAAAAGGATTGGATTTTTTTTCTTTTTAAGATTGGATTTTTAATGGTCATTACGTCCTGTGCTTATATATAATCTTTTAAACAGAATCAGTTTTATACTGAGACGAAATGATTTGTTTCCTTTTTCAGCAAATTATTTTCCATCACCTAACATTACTCTACATGAACGTTTCTCAAAACTGCGAGACACCCACAACACAGATGTAAAAGAAAGTCAATTGAATTCAGATCCAGAAATTCACAGGTAATGGTTGATTACTGTATTCCCATTTAACTCTTGAGGATTAACCGCAGAACAGATTCAGGAAGGTGCTGCTCCCTGAGCTTGCTCACCTGGGCTTGTTGTAGACTTTAAAAGTGCATTTTCTACATAAAAGAGGACCAGCCCAAGCAGGTACTGGGCCAGTGGACATGGATGGAATAGGTTGCATCGAAGCCACTGACTAACATTATTTAAATGTACAGGACTTTTAAAATATTTACCTACTTGATTCTTCTGTGTCTAATGAATAGTCGTTGCCAACTGAAGTTCTGGCTGGAAGAATGAAAGACAGCTGTCAAGCCATTGAAATCATGGGTGTTTCACATGGGCACAGACGGCTGTTAAGGGCAGCTGCGTGAAAACCTGTCTTGTCTGAGCAGGTGGTGCACCCTGTCTTGTGGACTGAGTAGAATCAGTGTTAGAATATAATATATCACCAGAACAAAATTGGAGATTGCACAGACTAGTGATTTGAGAACCACTAAAAATTTCTTTGCAGGATATGTGTGTATCAAGAGATTGCCATACAGACTAAGAACCACCTGGTAGCAGGTTTATTTTGCTTTCTCTAAGACATACCTGCTTTATTTCAAATCCCATTCTGTAGTAGTAGAATCAGTTATTAGTGCATAATATAATTGTTTAATTGTAATATACTTTTATTATTTTAGGAGAATAGATATGTCTTTGGCAGAGCTTCATAATAAACAAACTACGCAATATGAATCAGATCAGGTAAGTGAATACAATTTTTTTTTTTTTTGGTACCGGTACCAGAGATCGAACTTGGGTCCTTGAGCTTGCGAGGCAGGTGGCAGAACCACTGAGCTAAATCCCTGGCCATTGAATATAATTTTTGATAAGAGATTATCTTATTGTTAGTATACTAATGGGAAAAGGATTGGTGGAGTCAAAAGAGAGTTAACATACAGGAAGAAGAGGAGTTGAGACTCGGGGATCTGAGATTTTAAAAGTTCTCCAAGTGATTCTGATTATTGGCCGGGTTGGAGTGAGACTACTGACAAAAGTCAAAAATATTCCCTCACAGGGTCAGTCTCTAAGGATAATGGCTTTGTAAAATTGATGCAAAATTACAGGATATATATTCATTACAAAACTCCACACTGAAACTTATGGAAAGCACGTTCTGTACATGTTATTCCAAAGCAGTCATGTGGAATGCATGGAATGAATTAAAGGAACTAAGTCTCATTTGATATTGTCCTTTTGTTTACTGTAGAATATATTTCTGATAGAATATATAAATAATTTTTTCACTTGGGAAAATGACTATAATTTTTATTAAATATATAGAGATAGATTGGTTTATTGAGTGGTATGTTCAGAAAACAGATCTTCGGGCTGGGGATTTAGCTCAGTGGCTCTTCTGCTTGCCTTGCAAGTGCAAGGTCCCAAGTTCAATCCCCAGTGCCAAAAAAAAAAAAAAAAATAGATCCTCACTTTTCTTTCCTAAACTTATACCTCCCTTTCCAGAGGTCTAGTGGTCTAGATTGGCCCCCATTTATTTCTAGTTCTTAGAGCTAGTAGAACTTATGGTGATTCTGTGTAATATGAAGCAGCAAAATATTGGAAATGCTACTAAATTTCCTTATTGTCATGTGTTGTGTGTGGTTCTCACCCAACACTTCTCTTCCCACCTCCCATTTCTTTACTAATTAAAAAGAAGATTTTTGACTAGCCAGGGAGGAAGAAAACTGGATCTTGTTTTAAAAGTTTGTCAAATTCTAAAAGAACTGCTAATTTATTCATTGAGAGTAAAGAGTTTTTGTACAGAGAAGATTTTAATATAGTTCCGATAGAATATATAAATATTTTTTCACTTGGGAAAATGATTATAATTTTTATTTATAGAAATAGATTAGTTTATTGAGTGATATGTTCAAAACATATCTCCTCTTAAGCATTGCAGTCATCTTACAAGAAATTTGAGGATTTTTTAAAAAAATCATCTATTAATTCAACTGATTAATACAAGATATTTGATCATCTTTTGTTGCAGTCTTACATCTTGCATTTTAACATAGCCTCCATCATAGTGGATACACAGTTTGCAGTTTTATATGTTTTTTTCCTTTTGCTTAATTGGTGGTAACATTCCTTTTATGTAAAAAGCTCTGAATTCCCCATCACTCTTATAATTGAAGCTTTTTACGTTTTAATTAACTTTTTTCAGTAAATGTTTTTCCATGTTAACCTAAAGTTACTAATTGTAGTTACTAATTTAAATGGCTATACATTATTATTATTATTATATTATTATGCATTGTCATAATATATTCTTCCATTTTCCTTTAATTTTTTTAACATTGAAGTTCCTTTCTTTTTTGTTACTTTAAATATGGTAATTTGAAATTTTTTTGTAGACAGTCGTTTCTTTGAGACAGGATCCCAGAAGTGGGATCCCTGTTTCAATGGTAGGAACTTTCCTGACTATATTGTCAATTGTGTCTCAAAATATTTGTATCAGTTTACACTACCGTTAGCAGGATGAGTATAAAATAAGTTATTTAGGACTTTTAATTAAGCTTCTTGTTAGATTTGGTCTTTGTGCAACTAACAGTAATTTGAATGGTTTGGCTTCTGTCAAAATTCCTCAGACTCTGGTCAAAGTAATAGATCCAAATGACCTACGTCATGACATTGAGAGGAGGAGAAAAGAGCGGTTACAGAGTGAAGATGAGCACATTTTTCATGTAGCTAGTGCTACAGAGAGGTAAGCAGAAGATGGAAACCATTCTGTTATCAAGGGAGGTTTTGGTTTCAGCGTTTTTTCAGCTTTTTGAGTGTGATAATTTTCATTTTACTATAGGGATTTGATCCTTCAAATCCATTTTTTATGTTTAAGTGAATTCTATTAAAATGTTTCAAAGTTATTCATTGATCATCATTTACAGCTTAATTTAAATAACAAAAATCACGGGGCGGGGGAGTATTTGAGGTCTTCATAATTCTAGAGAGGAGTGTCATAGCTTCTTTTAATATTAGCAGGACCCAGGGCTAGTAAGTTTGTGGACTGTGTGTAGCTTGTTGAAAGTGATACATTCTCCACTTTCAATTCTGAGGTAGTCTGAAAAATACAAAATTTCCTGAGGTCAATGCAGTATTCGTTAGGACTCTTTGTGGATGTCTGTCCATGAAACGGGCCAGTGTAGTAGAGAATGCAGAGGACACCCACACTTGAATCTCACCTCTGTCCATTTGTATGCTGTTTAATCTTGGAAGAATTTGCTCTTTAGAGACTCTCCATATATAAAATGGCGATAAAACCAACTTATTAATTGACTGATGTATCTGAAGTACTCATACCATGCATGGAAAATAGATCCTTACTTTTCTTTCCCAACCTCATACCTCCCTTTTCGGAGCTCTAAGTGGTCTAGATTGGCCCCCATTTATCTCTAGTTCTGAGAGCTAATAGAACTCTCAGTGCCTTCAGTATTATGATTATGAGGTATGTAATTGAATGCGGCACATTTTCTAGTTTGATCAAGAGTTCTCACACTATTTTGATCTCCACAGAGTGGAAATGTATGAGTAGAAAGGGTTAGTGCTAGTTGTTCTTCCATAATCATTGATATCGAATTACTAAAATATATGACTAGACTTTTAGGTCAAGTCAGTGCCGATCTCATCCTTAGTCAAAATACATAGAACTTGTTTAAAACTGAATTTGATTCTGACAATAAGTTTGGGACTCATTAAAAGACAGTGAAACTGTGTTATGGCATATGGATCAATTAAAATTGTAAAAATCTTGTCCCTTACTAAGTAAAAGTTGTTATTCCTTTAATATGATATAGTTAATACATGGCATGATTATTGTCTCTGATGACACAAACTGTCATGTTTTTCTTAACTCAGTTTAAGAAACCCAGTATACCAAGAAACTGGACTTTTCAAACAAATTTCAGGTGATCAGCATATCATAAAGACTATATAATACCTCAGGATATATCTTCACCCTTTGAGATGATTAGAGCTTGAGCAATAGGGTAAGACCTGGGTTCATCACCTGGCTCTTAGACTTCTAGTTCTGTGACTGACTGTAGGCAAGTTAATTTAGTCTCTGCTGCCTCTTCTGTAAAATGAGGATGATAAGAATTATACTCACCTCATAGTGGTGGTTAAGATTAAGTTAAACGAGGGCCAGGGATTTAGCTCAGTAGTTCTGCCACCTGCCTCACAAGCACAAGGACCCAAGTTCGATCCCCAGTAACAACAGCAAAAAAGATTAAGTTAAACGATAAGTGTACAGTAGAGTAGCTGGTTTGTGTTAAACGTATTAATGTTAGCTTTGATGATAGTGTTATAGCATGTAAAGACATGTCTTTTGCTGAGTCTGTTGGATTATTTTATTTGTATTGGGTAGTTGTTGTGGTATAAGTAGCCAGGAGGGTTTTTAAAAATTATACATTCTGATACATTCTGTAAAATTCACCCCTTAGGAGTAAGCAATTTACAGTAATTTTTAGTATATTCACAGAGTTGTAAAACCATTACCACTATTTAATTTCAAGCATCCCATCACCCCCAAAGGAAGCACTGGTACCCATCAGCTGTCAGTCCCCTCTTCTCCTTTCCCTCCCCCTGGCAACTGCTGTGTATGGGTTTGCCTAGTTTTAACATTTCATATAACTGCAATCATATAATATGTGGCTTTTGTGACTGACTCTTTCATGTAGTCTAATGTTTTAAACATTCATTGCTATTGTATCCCCATTGCCTTGAGCTCTGTTCATATGTGTTGAGTGAATGAATGAATCTTTTGCAAAGGAGCAAAAGGGCACTTAAATTGTTGTACATTTCTATCTGGATTTCTATTCCTTGATGCTTCGGATCCTTCACCAGCAAGTCTAATTCTGAGGGAATCTTTCTAGTCTTCTTGCTCTTCTCTGATTCCCTTTTCTGATCAATCTCTTGCCCTGATATCACCATGCCTTGTAACACACTATCTATCCTCTTCTAACTAGTGTTAATAAGTTCACTATAGTGTAATTGAGATGTGTTATATAGGTATTGGCTGTGTATGATAAAGTAGCTTAAAAATAGTATCAGTGGACTTCAGGAGGACCTCAAACTGTCAAGACTTTCTTTTTAGCAAGATGGCTTATGGTAAAACACAAGTTTTTATTCTTGCTATTTTGACAATCTATAATATGCAGTGAACTACAGTGAACTTCACATGGGTCTTTTATTCATATATTCAACAAATATTTATATGATAATTTACTTTATTCTAAAGTTGCTATTACAAGCATTGAGGATACAGTGAAAACCTATATACAAAGCCCTTGCCTCGGAGGCACTACAATTTAATGATAAGAGAAAGGAAATGAGTATATGTCAGTGTAGTGATAGGTGAAAAATAAGGCAGAAAAGAAAATTCAATAGGAAAGTAACATGTGTGATATGATTTTGAAAATTTAGCTGGGGTGTGAATTAAGAGTGTTAGCCCCACTCTTAATACTTAAGGCAATAGTATTTCAAGAGCTGAGACTAGCAAATGGAGAGACTTTGAAGCAGGAATGTGGTTGGTCTTGTTGAAGGACTAGAAGGGGAGGGTGGCTGCACCATGGAAGTTAAGGGAGAGAGTTAGCAGATGAGAGACCAAATCATGAAGAACCAAAGGCCATGAAGATTTTATTTACCTCTGAATGAAATTAGAAAACATTTTGGATTCTAACTGGAAAAGAGACATAATCTCAACTAAATTTTAAAAGGCTCCCAAGCATTCTGGGAGGCAGAGGCAAGGCAATCACAAGTTTAAGCCCAGCGTGGGCAACTTAATAGTGTCATGAGACCCTGTCTCAAAATTTTTAAATGGGAACGAGGGGCTGGAACATAGCTTAGTGTGAAGGTCCTGGATTCAATCCCCAGGACTGCGAGTAAAGGATGAATGAATGAATGAATAGATGGTTCACTATGGTTGTTGGGTAGAGAATGAATTATAAGAGCTAGAGAGAAATAATTTCCTTGTCAAGTAATTAAAATAGAAAGTCTGCATGGAGAGGGAGGGATGGTAGGGGAGACCACTCAGGGAACCTTAGATCTTGCTTTTCCTGTGTCTTTTGTATATGGGGTCCGCCTGATGGTTTAGATGGGTATTTATGCGCTAGTCATCATGGCCTCCTTCTAGCCTTTCCCTTGAAGACTTCCTGAAATTGACACATGACACTAACACTGTTGGTCAAAATTTAGTCCCATGACTATGCCTACCTGTAGGGAGGCTTGGGAAATATAGTAGAATCTTTAACCTGGTGGTAGTTTGTTTGCCTGGCCAAAAATCATGTATCAAAGAATTTATTTAAAAATTTTTAAATTACACATGTAAAATTTACCATTTTAATTGTTTTTAAGTATATAATTTGTTGGCATTAAGTCTATTCACCATGTGCAATCATTACCATTATCTATGTCTAGAACTTTTCATCTTCTCAAACAGAAAATCTGTACCAATTGAAAAATTACTTCCCATTCTTCCCTTTCCCCTGCACTTGCTAACCTCTTTTTTTTTTCTACCCCTATAAATTTGCACATTCTAGATACCTCATATAAGTAGAATCTTGTTATTTGTCCTTGTGTATCTGGCATATTTCTTTTTTTTTCTTTTTATTGAGTTTATTGGTACAATCTAGGTATACAATACAATTACATTCATCATTGGGATTCTGTACCTTTACATAATAGGTCTTGATTCTCATTTTTCCCCTTGTCCCTGCCCTCCCTTC